CCCTATGATAATCAGACATAAAATAGCTATAGACTATACACAAAATGAAATGAGTAGAGAATTTAAATGTTTCACTAAAAACTCAAACACACACAGAAAAGTAGTAATTCAGGAAATGAAGGACAAAAAAAGCTATAAGTCATATGGAAAAGAAATAACTAAATAATGTAAGTAAGTCCCTCCTTACTAGTAATTACTTTAAATGTTAATGGAATTAACTCTCCAATCAAAAGACAGAGATTGGCAGAAGAATTTTAAAAAACAAAACAAAACATAAACCCACTTTAGATCCAAAGACACAAACAGGTTGAAAGTGAAAGGATGAAAAAAGATATTCCCTGCAAATACTAACTAAAAAATACTAATATCGACAAAATAGGCCTTAGTTTTTTTAAAAGGGGGGTAACAAGAGACAAAGAATGGCATTATATACTAATAAAAGGTTCCATATATCAAGAAGATATAATAATTCCAAACATTTACATAACAGAACCTCAATATATATGAAGCAAGGTTTGACAGAATTGAAGGGAGAAATAGTTCTCTAATAATAGCTGGAGACTTCAATACCTTACTCTCAATAATGGATAGAATAACCGGACACAAGATGAGCAAAGAGAGAATTTGAACACAATAAATCAACTGGATCTAACAGACATAAAGAGAACATTCTACCCAACAACACCTGAATACATATTCTTCTCCAGTGCACATGGGGCATTATCCAAGATAGATCATATGTTAGGCCACAAATGAAGTCTCAATACATTTAAAAAGACAGATATACAAAATATCTTCTCCAGCCACAATGGGATAAGTTAGAAATCAATTTCAAAAGGAAAACTGGAAAATTCACACATTTGTAGAAACTAGGCAACATATTCTTAAATAACTCATGAGTCAAAAAAGAAATCACAATGGAAATCAGAAAATACTTAGAGATAATTGAAAATGAAATACAACCTACCAAAATTTATGGGATGCAAGGAAAGCAGTCCTAAAAGGGAAATTTATAGCTATAAATGCTTACATTGAAGAAGAAGAAAGATCTAAAATCAACAACCTATCTTTACAACATAAGGAACTAGAAAAAGAACAAATTAAATCAAAAGCTTGTAGAAAGAAGGAAATAATAAAGATCAGAGAAATGAAATAAAAAGTAGAAAAGCAGCAGAGAAAAACCAACAAAACCAAAAGTTGTTTCTTTGAAAGGATTAACAAAATTAACAAACTCATAGCTAGACTAAGAAAAAAAGAAGACTCAGAGTTCTATGAACAATTGTATGCTAACAAACTGGATAACCAAGATAAAGTGCACAAATTCCTACACAACATAAAACCTACCAAGACTGAATCCTGAAGAAATAAGAAATTGAATCAGTAATCAAAAACCTCAAGGTAATAAAACCTTGGACCTGATGGCTTCACTGGTGAGTTCCACCAATATTTTTAAAAGAACCAACACCAGCCAGGTATGGTGGTTCACGCCTGTAATCCTAGCACTCTGAGAGGCCAAGGAAGGAAGATTGCTTGAGTTCAGGAGTTTGAGACCGGCCTGAGCAAAAGTGAGACCCCCGTCTCTATCAAAAGTAAAAAAAATTAGTTGAATGTGGTGGTGTGCACCTCTGTAGTCCCAGCTACATGGCAGGCTGAGGCAGGAGGATCATTTGAACCCAGGAGTTCGAGGTGGCAGTGAGCTATGAGCTATGATGATGCCACCACACCCTACGCAATGTGACAGGGTGAGACTCTGTTTCAAAAAAAACCAACACCAATCCTTCTCAAACTCTTCCAAAAAAAAAAAAAAAAAAATGAAGAGGAGGAAACATCCTAACTCATTCTATGAGACCATTATGCCCTGATACCAAACCCACACAAAGACATATAAGGAAAGGAAACTACAGACTAATATCCTTTATGAACACTGATGCAAAAAATCCTCAACAAAATACTAGCAAACTTAATTCAGCAGATGTTAAAAGGATTATACACCATGATTAAATGGGATTTACTCCTGGAATGCAAGAATGGTTCAACATATGAAAATCTGTCAATGTAATATACCAGATTAACAGAATGAAAGAGAAAACCACATGATCATTTCAAAACTGCATGAAATTATTTCACAAAATTCAAATTTTGTGATAAAACACTCAAACTAGAAATAGAAGGTACACTCAAACTAGGAATAGAAGGAAAAATCAAACGAAAACCCATAGCTAACATTATACTCAATGGTGAAAGACTGAGTTTTCCCTCTAAGATCAGGAAGACAAAGATGCCTGCTTTTTCTACTTCAATTCAGCATAGTACCTGAAGTTGCTGTGGCTACAGCAATTAGGAAAGAAATAAAAGGTATCCAAATTGGAAATCATGAAGTAAAATGACCACTATACACAGATGATGTGACTTTATATACAGAAAACCCTAAAGATTCCACACAAACAACTATCAGGACTAACGAACTCAGCAAAGGAGGATACAAAATTAACACATAAGTCAGCCATTTCTTTATAGTAACAATGGACAATCCAGAAACAATTTAAGAAAACAATTCCATTTATAATAGCATTAAAAACTACTTAGGAATTAACCCAGAAGGCAGATAAAGTCCAGGCAAACTGGACTTTATCAAAATTAAAAACCTTTGTGCATCAAAGGATACAATCAATGGAGCGAACAGGCAACCTACAAAATGGGAGAAAACATTTGAAAGCCCACATATCTGATAAGTGGTTAATATCCATAAAATATAGAGAACTCCTAAAACTCAACAGCATAAGACACAAATAAGTTAATTCAAAATGGGCAAGGAATAGACATTCCAAAGAGGACATACAAATAGCCAAATTAGGCACACAAAAAGATGCTATCATTAGTCATTGGAGAAATGCAAATCTAAACCACAATAAGATACCATTTCACACTCATTAGTGAATATGATATAATAAAATACAAAACAAAAACAGAAAAATAACAGGTGTTGGCAAGGATGTGAAGAAATAGATATCCTTATGCAATACTGATGAGAACATACAATGGTGCAAGTCATGAAGGATAATACTATGATGGCCACAGAAAAAATTAAACATAGAATTATCATATGATCCAGCAATTCTACTTCTGGATATATACCCAAAAGAACTGAAAGCAAGATGTCAAAGAGGTATTTGTACACCCATGTTTATAGCAGCATTATTCACAAAAGATAAAAGGTAGAAGTAATTCAAGTGTCTATTAATAGCTGAATGGATAAACAAATGTGGTATATACATACAACAGAATATTAGTCTTACAAAGAAATGAAATTACAACATATGCTACAACATGGATATACCTTGAAAATGTTATGCTAAATGAAATAAGCTAGCCACAAAAAAACAAATACTCCACTTATATGAGGTACCTAGTATAGTCAAATTCATAGAGAGAGAAATAGAATGATAGTTGCCAGGGGTAGTGAGGAGGAGGAGGAAGAAATGAGGAACTGCTGGTTAATGGGTACAGAGTTTCCATTTTGCAAGATGAAAAGAGTTTTGGGGATTGAATGCAGGGCCATGTGAATGTACTCCACAATATTAAACTGCACACTTAAAAATGGTTATTAAAATGATATTCTGTTATGTGGCATTTTATCACAATTTTTTTAAAAATTAAAAAAATATGATTTAGATACTTGCTATTTAAAATGGTCTTTCCCACATGCAACATTAGTTCCAATGAGAAAACACTGTTTTTCAGTGTACTGTATGGACACATTATAGACACCTTCCTACAGCTATAAATTTTTCATATTAAGTTCCAAAATACATCCTCATTCCAAAAAACTACCACACAAAAAAGTGTATGTCTCCAAAATAAATTTTTAAATGAAATGAAGTTATTTTGACTAAGTCTTAAGAGAGAAAAATAAAATGTAAATAGTAAACAGTACACCATTGGTTAATTTTTAATACACTTCCTTTCACGTTCACTTCTATGTTCACTTTGTTCTTTACTCAAAACCAAGGAAGAAACTAATATCAAAGTAAGCACTTTTCATTTCAAAGAAGAAAAATCTCTAGATTGAGCAACCATAAAAAGAAACCCAATAAAGAGCTAGAAAAAAAAAAAAAAAAAAAAAAAAAAAAAAAAAACAGGAAAAAGTAGATATCAAGGACTGTGTTACATTAAGTGCAGATAAGGAAAAGCAGTCTGTCAAATGACATGTTATTACATATAGAATTTCATGTAACATACTTAAACCATACACTATACTTTTTTAATAGCTTTACTGAAGTATAATTTACATAACATAAAATTCAACCTTTAAAGTATATAATTCAGTAGTTTTTTTCCCATACTGTACTCAGAAAGTTGCACAACTATCACCACTAATTCCAAAACATTATCACCTAGAAAAGAAATCCCATACCCATTAGCAGTCACTACCCATTCTCTCTTCCCTCCAAACACTGGCAACCGTTAATCTACTTTCTGTCTCTATGGATTTGCCTATTCTGTACACTTCATATAATGAGAAACATATATGTGGTCTTTTGTGCTGATTCCTTTCATATAATGTTAAGTCTCATCCATGTTATAGCATGTATCAATAATGCATTCCTAGCCGGGCACGGTGGCTCACGCCTGTAATCCTAGCAGTCTGGGAGGCTGAGGCGGGCGGATTGCTCGAGGTCAGGAGTTCGAAAACAGCCTGAGCAAGAGTGAGACCCCGTCTCTACTATAAATATAGAAAGAAATTAATTGGCCAAATAATATATATAGAAAAAAATTAGCCGGGCATGGTGGCGCATGCCTGTAGTCCCAGCTACTTGGGAGGCTGAGGCAGCAGGATTGCTTGAGCCCAGGAGATTGAGGTTGCTGTGAGCTAGGCTGACGCCATGGCACTCACTCTAGCCTGGGCAACAAAGCAAGACTGTTTAAAAAAAATAATAAAATATTTTTTGCCAATAAAATAGTGAGAAGTATAACCTTCCTCTGTAAATGAAAACACTTACCTGCTAAGTAATTCCAGTCCAGCAGAGTACTTTGGCAAATATGAAACGGTCCTGCTAAAAGAAACACTTATTCTATTAAAATTGTTTCTGATTTAGTCAACTAAAAAAAAGGTTACATACAAGAATTTCAACACTGCCAATTGTAATAGAAGGTATTTTTAAATCACTAATGACAATTCATCTAAACTTTTAGAAAAATATACTATTTTATTTCAGAGTTAATGTAATGAACTATAATTTACTATCAACCATCATTTTGGCCCATGGAGATTATTTTTAGCATACTATACAGTAAACACTTTAATGTGATGCTACATAAGAATAAATATGTATGATCAAAGTTCATCATCTCTAGGTTGAAAGTGAATTTTGGTCACATACTTTGTTAAAAAAATTTTTTTTTCTTTTTTTTTTTATAAAAAAAAAATTTTTAAACAGCACAATACTCTTGTTTTCATATAAAACAGGTAACATAGCTAAAAAGCCTCACTTGAATTATTTCATTATTAATTTGATTTTCAGTAATGCAGGACTTTTACTTTTGCTCTTAATATAAAAACAAAAAATGATTAATTGTGATCGAATAATAGCCACTGATTGCCATGGAGTAAAACAATTATACTTCACCATTTTTCAATCATTTCACAATTTCATCAGAAAATTTTCCTGTTACAAAATTTAGAAAGAATCAATAAATTGTTTTGCAGTCAGATGTACTCTAAAATCCATAAAAGTAATTATATCATTATGAATACAACCAAAAGTTGTATGAAATTTAAGTCATGGTAAATTAAAATCTTAGCACAAGCTTACCTGGGTTTGCTTTTTACTTTTGCTTCTCTTGACTTGTCACTTAAAGTCTTCAGCCTATAATTCAACAAGTATAAAATATAATATTTTTACAGGTCAAGATATTTTTCAACCACAAATTTTCACATCTGTTAAAATTTTAGGTCAGATAAGCTAATCTTTTAAGCAAAAATTAAGCACCTCTGCAAATAACAGTTGTGTGTTTACCATGTTAGACACCATAAGTGGAAAATATGTAGCAAGTGCCTTTATATTTCTATGTGCCCCAAATACCTTTTGTAGAAACAATGATTCCCTAAATGTGATCAGTCTGGAGAAACCTAATTTATCTGGTATCTTTACAAAAAGTAGTGGTCCACATAAGTGAACTCAATATGTAACAAAGATATCTAAGCAGCACACTTTATTAAATAGATACTATCCCAGATATCCAAATCTCTTTAAACACCCATAGTAGTTGAAATTTTCATTGATTAAAAAGTTTTCTAAAATATTTTACAAACTACTTTCATTAAAGAGGACTTGGTATATCCCAGTTAACATTTTCTGATAACTCTAGCTCATTATTAAGAACACTACAGGACAGGCACAGTGGCTCACGCCTGTAATCCTAGCACTTTGGGAGGCTGAGGTGGGAGGATTGCTCCAGGCCAGAAGTTTGAGACCAGCCTGAGCAATAGCACAACCCCCAGCTCTACAAAAATCAGAAAAAATAGCTGGGCGTGGTTCTGCACACCTGTAGTACCAGCTGCTCTGGAGGCTGAGACAAGAAGATCACTTGGGCCCAGGAGTTTGAGGTTGCAGTGAGCTATGATGTGGCCATTGTACTCCAGCCTGGGCAATAGAGCAAGACCCTGTCTAAAAAAAAAAAAAGACACTACTAACTGCATTTTGCAGCAAAACAATACTCTCCTCAGATGTTTCTGAGCTAGAAATGCATCTTCATTTACTAACCTGAACCAACCAATCTATGGTAGTTTCATTTGTGTTTGTTTGGGCTCTTGTATTTATTTTTTCTAAATTTTTTTCTAAATTTCCACCACTGGTCATCTGGTTATCAGCTACCATTTACTGCTTTTGCTAGCAGCCTCCTCTCCTTCTATTTGCTGTTTTTAAATTATTGAGCTAGAAAACAGATACATAGGCTAGAACTACATATATAAAATTAAATTATTGGCTCTTCTAAATATAAAATGCATTCATAAACTATCCAATTTATTTTCACTTCACTGGCCTGGTTTTACTTTCTTTTGGCTGTGGACTCTGTAACAGACAGTGCTAAAGTATGAGATAAGCTCATATAAAATGAGATATTGCTGCATACATTCTTCTTAATTATACCACCACCTATTCATTTCTAAATAGTAACTGAAACATAGGCCCCTACAAAGTCTCTGTAAAAATAGAAATAGGTGCTCCTTTCTCTCAAGACACTTTACTGCTATCAGCCAGAAATGGTCCTTACAAGCTGTCTCTCCCATAAATGCCTCAACCCTGCATTGTACAGCATGCAATCTTTGTGACTACATACACAGGCCCTAACACAGGATTCTATCTTTCCTTTCAATAAAGCCTGTTAAGCACCAAAAGGGGACTTCTGATCAAATGCATCTTTTAAACCAAATTAGAATGCCAATTTCATACAAAGAGTTTCATATTGCTCTCTGACCTTTTTCAAAAAATAAAATATTAATGAGATTTTCTCTATAATTTTCAAAATATTCAGCAATATTTTTAACACAAAATAGGTATGTGTATCTCTCCAGATAAGTCTAGGAAATTGTATAAAAGTCTAATCTGTCCCAGAGAAACAACATAAATTTCTACGCTTATCTTGGAAACTAGTAATTCTGGTTTAAACCAAGATTAAGCTAAAGCTGGGGAAAAATATATTTTATGGCCATGCTCTACTATTTCTGCTCCAAAACTTGAGAAAGGAACTTAGCTGAGAGATCCCAGACAAAATTATCCTAGGATAGTTATACACAGCAGTACATCACACTCAGGATGATTCTAGGATTATTTTTAGTGATTCAGGACAATTCTATACAGTTAAGTGTGAAAGAGAAGTCCTAAAATCCTATTTGGACTACTCTAATTATGTGGTCTGGCAAATCTCTAAGTTGGTATTTCAAACATTTATTCCTAAAATAAACTTTTAATTTCTCAATTGTAACATGCCAAGTTTCTCTCCCCCATCAAAAAAGAAAAAATTCGTTTGGAATAAAAGGGAAAGAAGGAGTGTTATAGGCAGCTGAAAATAAAACCATGGAAAGATTCAATAAGAGCTTCTCCATGTGACACTTTAACAACCATCTGTTTTAAAAATTGGTCTTTAACCAAATGTAATGTGTGGAACTTATCTGATCTGGATTAGAACAAACCAACTGTAAAAAGGCATTTCTAAGAACCAAGGAAATCTGATTGTGGACTGCACAATTGATAATATCAAAGAATTAGTGTTAATTTTATTAGTTATGATATTGGCATTGTATTTATGCAACGTCTGTATTGTTTTTAGTGATGCAAGCTGACATTATCAGAGGTATAATAGATAAGTCTGAGATTTATGTTATAAATACGTATATAATACAAACATGGCAATATCTGAAAATTGTTGAATCTGAAAAATGGATATATGGGATTCATAGCATTATTCTGCTTTTGTGTATGTTTTAAACTTTGTAAAAAACTAAATTTCTTTAGCAACAAAAAGTCTTATAGATATTCATCTTTTCTCACCAACTCTTCTCCAAATAAATCACCAATGTGCCCAAATTCAGAATAGAAACTGTTGGAAAAAACAAAGTAGCCAGAAGGAAGTTGGAAACAGTTATGAAAGGTCAGGAGAGAAAACGATAAAGAGTTAAAATGACTATTATTCTTAAGACAAAAGAAAAAGGTCAGATATATTTAACAAAGTAGCAAAAAAGCAAAAAGGTCCTCTCTAAAATATACCCTGAAAACCCAGAATTCATGTGAAAGTAGCCTACCATTTTTATTTTAGGATAACTCAAGTTTCTCACACAGTCCCTATGCTGGAAACAACCCACCCATAACGTCTACTTACAATCCCATAGTATCATGACACGCTGGGAAGGAAATACTGACCTACGGAGAACACTTCAGTTTCTTCAAATGTAAAATGGCAGCATTATACACAACCATAAAGATCTGAATTTTTATGAATTCAATAAAATTCCAAATATGACCTTGACATCTGGAAACTATAGAGCTAATGCAAATGAAAGGTATAATAAAAATCATCCTCATCAAGAAAGTTGAGAAACTATGTACTTCATTACTGGGCCAGGGTGAAATGCAGTAGAGGTCCCCAATGCACTAGTTCCTATAAAAGGCTTGCCCAGCCCCATTCTCAATCTTTTCCCCAATACCATACACCTCCAGGAAGACATAAGTGCTGCTGTGTGAGCACATTAATATACAGACTTAAGTGAGCCATCTGTCAGTTATTCTCTACTAAAGACAACTTTCAAGTTCAAAGAACTAAACCTCAAAATCACCAAAACAGTTCAATAATTTTATTTTTAGATGGCCCCAAAGACTTAACCTTAATTTGACACCAGCATATTTATTTCTTCAAGCTTAGTAGAAAATTCTAAAATGGAAGCATCTTACTAAGAAATGAAGGTGATTAGCAAAACTGCTTAGACGAAAAGTGTAAAAAGAAGTGGATAATCAGAATGATGCCTTGAGCACCACATCAAATGATGAGCAGATCCCCGGCTGACTCAATGGTGTGGGGGGACCTAGATGGCATTTCATTATTTGCACCTCAATTTCCAACTGTTCACAATCATCAGCTATTAGAAAAGATGAGGATGATTGCTTTATAACACTACAAAAGTATATTAATTAGCATATTTTGTCATAAGGCTTAATTCCTTTTTAACCATAATCTATTATATTTTCACATATTAGTATTTATCAACTCCCTTTCTCTCACCTTAAACAAGATCAGGGAAAGCAAAAGCAGTGATCACACTTAAAAGTGCAAATGACCCCTCAGGTCCAAAGCCTGAGAAATTCACACAGAAGCTGCACAAGACTCAGGAAAATGGAGAATAATCTAGACTATCTTTTCCCTAATTAACCCCAAATACACAGCTTCACGTTCTCACCTCTCTTGTGAGTGCATCTGAAATTTCCAACTGCTTCTCAGATGTCAAGCTGCTGCTGCACAGCAAATTCACTGTAAACTGCTCCTTCTCTCTCAAACCTATTCTTAAATCCTTTTATGCTGGTATATGATATCATTTATCCAAGGTACCCCCAAATTAACATTCTCAATTTCTGCACCTTTTTCACCTTCCACATGTCACTGCTGACAAATTTGACCAGTGCCTGTCACTTCAAACCTCTCCTTTAAATTTCTATCAGCACTACCTCATCGTCTTTCACCTGGCCCATAATTACAGCCTCCTAAATAATCTCCATGTTCCCCATCCCTAATCTTCCTATCACACTGCCTCCCAAGTCATCCTTCCAGAAATACTGAAATATTTTCCCAGAAATACAGGTAGGCTATTTCTCCCTTTACCTGATTTTTAGACATAGAATTTATTAGCTTCTAGGTATTTTACCTCCTCTCACCAGAATGAGAGTAGGGATCATATTTGCTGTCTGTTTTTTTCCTCCACTATATCCTCAGCACCTTTTAAAATAGTGCTTGCCATGGAGTAAGCATTCAATAAATATTTTATAAATTTAAGTAATTAAACAAAGCGTTGAAGATCCTCTATTATCAGTCACTAAACTTCCTTTCCAGCTTCATCTCCCAGGATTGCTTCCATTTCTGAAATGCCCTTACCCAAATCTATCATAATTTTTCCTCATTCTTCAAGGTCCAGTTTTAGAAGCCACTTACTCTTTGACGCCTTCTGTAACGGCATCCAAATTAATGGCTCTTTCCCCTGGGCTCAGATACCACACCACTTGTATATAACATTCAGTTCATTCTGCTTTGCTTTACATTTCCACCAGTCTAGGGCATCCTGAGGACAAAGTCTATTTTAGTTAGCTTTGTAGCCCCAGGATTTAGCCCAATATACAGACACTGCTGAGTAAAAACTAGGCAAAACTAAGCACATGGTTTCTAAAATCTTTTTTAAGCTACTATAAAAAAGGACACTTTGAGTGCTTAGCCTAGTGTCTGGCACTTAGCAGGAACTCAGTAAATATTTATTTATTTATTTATTTAATCCAGTTGAATATTAAGATTTTTTTTCCTCCCCATTAAAAAGGTTAGTAATCCTGGAAAAGTCAACATTTCAGGCAAAGTGTCACCATTTGAATACACTGAATTAGATTATTGGATCCTCTCCTTTGTGCAGGTTTTGATACTATGGAGGGAAGAGAGAATGAGGATACTGAGTGCAGGTGGAGGTCAAGGGGCAGTGGAGGCTTTGACAGAAAATCATTATCTAGCTGCAACAACAAATAGGTTTTTTTATCCCTAACCACAGGAACCCAGAGTATTACAAACAGGAAACACCAGCCTGTGACAGGCAGTTATAAACCTTCAGAAAATCTGATTTTCAGTTCCCTAAAGGGTTTTGCATGCCTAAATACCTCAATCCTGAAAGCTTTAGTCATAACTGCTCAAAAGGTAAAAATCAAAGACCAGAGTGGATTTGAAATATGTGCTTCAGAATGTCCAAGTTTCCCTTAGAGCTCAAGCTAATCCCTAAAAATAAAATGAATGTTCTATGTGAACCCTCCAAAAGGCTTCAAAATAGATTCTGAGTTTAATCAAATTAGGACCCAGGTGAGAGGAAAAGATGTTGGTAAGACCCAGAACCAATGCCCTCTAGACCCATGGCCTCTGGGCCAGCCTGCCATCCAATTAAGGCAGAAAGACTGTGATATAATTACTAGTTTGTTCAATGTTGAACAAACTGTAACGTATTGTTACAATGAATAAAAATTTATTAAAAAGGCCAAAGTCCATGGACAACCTAGAGTTCCCCCAAAACCACCAGTAATCTTTACACTTCCCTTAAGGAATCATGGGAAGTTGCATTTTTTTCTAATTTTGCACAGAATGTAGAAATTCATTGTGTTTATTGGACACACTTTAACCACTAATGTGACATTCTCTTATGAGACTGATGAGGAATATTTTACAAAAAAAATAAGTAAATTTGCCTAAAGTTAAGCTCCAATTATATGAATTTTCAGAAACTGAAAATGAGCAGAGCATCTCTGAGGAGAGGTTGCTGCTCTGGGTGTAATCACGAGTGACACTGGCCACACTGAAGGAGCCCAGAAAGGCACCAGGCCTTCAGCTGATTCCCTGGCGCAACCTGAACACTTGGTGATTCCAACTATTTTAAAAGGCAGCTGTCCTGGCTTCTAAACATTTGCTCTGCTACCAAGTGTTCTACAGGTGGCCAGAGTCATGCTGCTTTCATCTTTTTTTTGAGACAGTCTTGCTATGTTGCCCAGGCTGCTGGTCTCAAACTCAAGCTGGCCTCAAACAATCCTCCCACCTTAGCCTCCGAAGTAGCTGTAACTATAGGTGCACACCATCTCAGCCAGTTCATGTCTCTTTCATGTTTGAATCCCACATTGCCTACACTCAATAAACATATGTGTGCTAAGTTTAATTTCAACTTTTCCCAGCAACGCAAAAATATTCAGTTACATAAATTAGATTTATTTTAAGCTGAATATGGAAGGATTTAATACAATGGATTAGGTGGGGTTTTTCTTAGTAAGAATAGTATAAGAAATCGAGGCCTTGAACAAAGTGAACATAAGAGGTTAGAGGTGCTGGTCAACTAGGAGACGGAGGTCACTTGGAGATGAGTTTTCTGCCAGATGATAGGCTAATGGCACACACTGACAGCCCAGTGGTTTGTCAGCTGAAAGTGATGAGGAAGCCAACAAAGTAGCTAAATGGAATGAAGCCTTCTCAGGATGTCCAATTCTAAAATGGCCCTAGGCTAAGGCATCTTCAAGAAGTCAAGTCAGTTTCCAAGGAGTTCTAGATCCCCTTGGCACCTCTCCCTAACTGAACCCTAAACTTTTTGGGTTACCCAGATCTCCCAGGATGGTTTGGACCTGGGCAGTCCAGATCCCAGTCCAGAGTACATAATCCTAGGTAAGATCTTCTTAAGCAAAGATCAGTAACATGAATGGTTCTGAGGCAACCCTATGAGCTAGAGAGTACCCAAAGACAGACTGTTAAGCCTTCAAGGAATTCCTTGATGCAGTAACAGTAGTGTATGCAGATGGTTTTATCTATGGCCACTCTCATTTTCAGCACTAAAAGTTTCCAAAACAATTAATTTAACACCCTTAAGTTACTTTTTCTAAATTTATCAGGAGAAAAAAATGCATGCATGCAAGCACACCTATCAATGAATGTTTCCTAGAATATCTATAACGTTCTAAAGAACACCAAACTAAAACTAACAAAAATGTTTTTATATGTGGTAAGCACTAAAGCATTTGACAGCTTGTTACCATTCAGCACCCAATAGGAGAACAGTATATTTTTGTCGCATAAAATAAAATGCTGGCTAACATCTTTCCCCTTAGAAATTAAAAACAGTATGGTTGTGAACCTCCCACATTCACAGCATTCTCCAAAATGATTTGTAAGCTAAAGGTGACAGAACTTTTTTAAAGGTGGCACTCTTTCTAAAGTAATGAAAAAATTAAAGTGATTAAGTGCAAAGTATTAAAAATAGTGACTTCTTGGTTTACATGTTAATTCATTAATCCTCGCAACAACCCTATGAGTATCATCATTATCCCCATTTTACAGTCGCAGAAACAGTACAATGAGGCAACACACTTCTTGCAGAAACTTGCAGACACACGTCTGGCTAAGCGGTAGAGTCAGGATGAGGACCTAGGCAACCTGACGCCGGAGTCCAGGCCTGTGGCTCCCAGACTTGACTGCACACTGGAATCACATGGAGAGCTTTAAAACGCCATCTCCAGGCATGCTGGTTTAATTGGTATAAGGTGTAAGCTGGACATCCGGATTGTGAACGTTCCCAGGCGGCTCTAAGCAAAGTTTGGAAACCTCTGTGCTCTTAACCGCCGGGTATTAACAGCATTGCTATAGTTCTGTTGTTTCTCTTGCCCAAGAGTTCCCTCACCGCGGCGTTAAGCCCAGGGCAGAGGCAGACACGAAAGGCTGCAGGGAAGAGGCCAGCCTCGCTACGGGTTAGGCCGGCGAGGCGAACCTGAGAGCTGGGGCCGGGGGCGCAGGGCTCGGTCGCGGCCCGCGGAGGCCACGGCGGGGACGCCCCCGCGGCCCGTGAGGGGACGGAGGGCCCGGCTCCGGGGGGCGGGCGGGGGGCAGGTGTCCCGGCGGCGTCGGCGGGGGCGAGGGGGCGCAGGGCCGCTGTCCCGCGCGGGCGGAAGCGGGAGGCGCGACCGCCTCTCCCGTGAGTCCCCTCCTCGGCCCGGCCGATGCTGCGGGAGCGGCGCGGAGGGGTCCCACGCACGCCGCCCGCCGCCTCCCGGCCCTGGGGTGCGGGTCAGAGCCAGCCCCGCGGGACCGAAGTTACTTGGCGCCGCCAGACGCGCGGACGCCGGGAAGTTCGTTACTTTCCCGGGCGGGGCGGGGCCAGGCCGGGAGCGGGCCCGGCCGGCGCGGGGCGTCCCGAGCGGGTCCCTTTCGGTCGCCCACTGCATACCCACCCGGAGGTGAAATCCTGCTGCACGCTCAGCAGCCGCTCGCGCAGGGTCTCCAGCATCGCCGCCGCCGGCCGCCTCCCCTCAGGCCTGGCGCGGCCGCCGCCGCCGCCGCCCGCGATCCCCGCGGCCTCCCGCAGCACCTGTCACCCGCGCACCCGCACTCCGCGGCGCCGCGCCCGCCCGGCGCGTGCCCCGCGCCGCAGCCACGCCATTCCGCGTCTCGCGCCGCCGCCGGCTCTCCGCCCCCGCCCCCGCCGCGCGCCGGCCCGCGCAGCCGCAGTGGACCGCGCCGCGCTCGGGCCGCGGACAAGGGGCGGGCCTTCCCTGCGGGCCAGGGGGGAGAAGCTCCTCCGCGTTCCTTCCAGGCTGTGCCGTCCTTTGGAATGCAAGTGGCTTCGTGGGAGGGTGACTTGCGTCGAGGGCTTCTTTGAGTGAAGCTTTGGTTTTCAGGGTTTGGAAGAGAGTTGGATACATTTCCTGCGTCGATAGCTTGCAGCTCCCTGTAACGGATCATTTTATGGATCTGGCTCTAGGATCTGACCCCGCTGGCTTTAACCTTGCAGGAGACAAACATTCTAAGCCTCGGTGTCTCCATTCATAAAATGGCAATAAGAATCAACTGCCTCGACATCCTTACTATCCGCTCCTTTAACCCCTATGAGGCTTTTGTGCCCCACACACCAAGGAGATAGCCTCTTGCAAGTCACCAGCGGCCTCTGTGTTGTGCTTGTTACTTCTCTGATTTTTTTTCTCTACTTCTCAGTGCCTCTCAATGCGGTTTATCAGGCCATCCCTAAGAGACATTCTTCTCTTGCCTTCAAGGACCCCATACTTCCTCTCTCCCTTCCCCCAACCCCCTCACCTCTTCTCCTATTTCCACAGCTGCTCCCAAGGGTACATCCCAGCTCCTGTTCGTCTCCAAATGTGCTCTCCCCAGGCGATTCTATCAAGGCACTAATGACTCCCAGATCTCCATCTGCAGCCCCGTCCTTCCTCTCTCTTTCAGTTCATACCAGTTGTGTACTCAACGTGTATCCAACAGACATCTCAAACCAATGTACAGAAAACAAAATATCATTGCATACTCACCTCTTAACCTGCTCATCCTGTCTTTTCCATTTCAGTAAATGGCACTACCATCCACCAAGTTGCTCAAGTTAAGACACTTGAAATCACACCTGGTTTTTTTCTTTTCCTCATCTTCCAGATTAACCTATCAAATCCAATCAACTTTATTTCTAAAGTGTTTTGGAAGCTGCTCACCTTTCTACTTCTTCAGTATAATCAATGCTAGTCCAAGGCACCATCATCATTCACTAGAAACACTGACAGGTCTCCTTGATTCTGCTCTTTTGCCATCCACACTCCTGGAATCCATCCTTGACACAACAGCCAGAGAGAATTATTGAAAAGATCAATCAGATCATGCTGCTCCCCTGCTTAAAATCCTCCAATTGCTTCCTGTGCACTTAGAATAAAATTCAAACTCCTTACCCCAGAAAAGTCCTAAAATTTGAATCCTTTCTGACACTCTTTTCCAAACTGATTACTACTCACCTAACATCTCCTTGACACTCAAGCCATACTAGGCTTTTTTGTATTCCTTGAAAATTCCAGATTCATTTTTACCTTGAGGCCTTTTCATGAGCTTTTCTCCAAACCGTCCCAGGTTGCCTTCTTCATGACATTCAGGTCTCCGCTTAAATAACATCTCAAAAGATGACTGTTCAAGTTACCCACCCAATCCCTTCCTATCACACATCCTGTTTCTCAACTTAATACACATTAGAACATTTAATACCTATTTAATATAATTATTTATTAATTTATTTGTTTACAAATTTATTTTAAAACCTGGGCTAGGATTAGGGTGAAGCAAATAAGGCATTCACCTCAGGTACAAAATTTAAGGGGGAACCAAAAAGCTCAGTGATTAAGATAAGTAATATTTTAATGCAATATTTAAAAATTCAAAATTTGTGAAAAAATACGTGATGAACAAAATATCTAAATTTTAAATAAAGACAGGCTCTGACAGTGCTGGAATTGGTTGAGGGAGTGAGGTGGGCATTACAAGTACAGGCCCTGTCGTGAATTGCCCCTGTCTTGTTAACCCCAGCACCTACCGGTAAATGGCACACAGCAGACACCCAATAAATACAATACTGATTGTTTTGTTGAGGGAATTAAATAAGTTAAAGTGCTTGGTTTATGGCTGGGGGAACACCTCTTCCCCATTCTTGATGCTTTCTTCCAGGTGGAGGAAGCTTCTCCACTAACATAACACACCCAGCCTTTCCTGGTGGAGAGTAGGTGATTATGATGATTAGTGAGCCGGGAAATAAGGATCTCGGTCCTGTATTCTTTCCCTTTTTTCATCCAACAAAGAGAATTCATTCTGTCATATAAGGACCGGCTGCTGGGGTGACTCAGTGCTTTTTGTGACTAGGTGGGCAAGTCTTAATCTGAGGTTCCGTATTAGGAGTTTTGCTTGCCCATGAATATAAGCCATGTGCTTCATCAGCCTTCCCTGAAATAAAAGTGATGTTTGGACTCTGTGCTGACTCTACTGTCTTATTTTTCAGTTGGTTCACAAAAGTAAGAAAGAGGGGTGTCATTTACTGAGCCCTCTTCTACCTCTCAGAAATTGTACCTGGTACAAAGTAACTGATCAAAGCATCAAATCTATAAAAATGTTCCCTGGGATAGTGCTTCGTGCTCAGCAGCAGGGGGTGTCACCTGAGAGCTTCTTGCAAATGCAGAATCCCACACTCCACACAGACCTACTGAATCAGAATCTGAATTTTATCAAGATCACCAGGTGATTTATATTCCCGTTAACATGTGAGAAGGGCCCGAGTTGGCGCAGTGGCTCACGCCTGTAATCCTAGCACTCTGGGAGGCCAAAGCGGGAGGATTGCTCAAGGTCAGGAGTTCGAAACCAGCCTGAGCAAGAGCGAGACCCCCATCTCTACTAAAAATAGAAAGAAATTAATCAGCCAACTAAAAATATATAGAAAAAATTAGCCTGGCATGGTGGTGCATGCCTGTAGTCCCAGCTACTCAGGAGGCTGAGGTAGAAGGATCGCTTGAGCCCAGGAGTTTGAGGTGGCAGTGAGCTAGGCTGACACCACGGCACTCTAGCCCGAGCAACAGAGTGAGACTCTGTCTCAAAAAAAACATGTGAGAAGCACATCTCTGTGACACTCGCTGAGGAAAGGGGGTTTCCTGTCTCAATAGATTCTTACTGTAGACAAAGTGATAAATGAGGATTTGATAGACTTAGAACACAGAGGAAGCTGCTATTAAAGAAGAGGCTGTAGGACCCAGGTGATTTCACACTTTATTGGCAGAGGTCTTTTAAAGTAATTGAAAAGGCACTATAATCATTTGAGTGACAAAAACCTAACTTAGATTTATAAAGGTGTTTGAGTGTATGGTTACTAACTTATCTGTGATTTTTTTTTTTAAAACTAAAAGGTAAATATTTTTGATATCTTTAACTTTTAAGAGTTTAAAGATGCTGGAAGAATCCATGTAAAAGCTCTAAATGTTTCTTGTGAAGCAATGAGTATTTCTAATTGTAAGATAAGCTAGATAAAGCTGGAAAGGTGACATCAGCATGGCATTTTGAAAAGGAAAGCAGAGATAGAAACCAGGGAGGCAGAGGAGGGGAATTCCAACCCATGGGAGCAAAGATTAGAGTGCAATTGGAGAACACAAGAGAAGTAGGGTAGAGGACATCAAAGTCTGAAGACAGAAACTAATAGACCTAGATGGCAAGCACTGTCTGGAGTTACATCTGGGACAGCAAAGTTGGGAATGAGTATTTTACATGAGATAAACTGAAAGAACATCTCAGCTGCATCTACTTGAGTTCCAAAATTTTATTCCACTATAATAAAATAATTGGACACCTACCCTTGTCTTTTGCTTGCATGAAAAAAAAGAAAGGTACTACACCATGCATTAGAAGAGGAAACCTCTTTTATTTTTTTGTTAATCTATGTTTGGATCCACATGGTCTATAAAATATTCATAAACAGCCAAGTGAATCCATTCTTCGAAGTGTAGGAACTCTACATGAGCAAGGAGACTACATCTTGTACTCTTACAGATAAATGGTTTCCCCTAGACAGAGTATATCTAAAAAGTTACATCTACTGAACTACTATGGCATAGAAATATCTTTGATCAGGAGAACTTAAGAACAAACTGAAACTCTTTAACAAGAATTTGTAACAATGAATTTGAGACCAGCCTAGGCAACATAGCAAGACCCTGTCTCTACAAAAGAAAATTTTAAAATTAGCTAGGCGTGTTGGCACATGCCTGTAGTCCCAGTTATTCGGGAGGCTGAGGGAAGAGGAGTTCGAGGGTGCAGTGAGCTATGATTGCGTCACTGCACTCCAGCCTAGGTGACAGACTGAGACCTTGTTTCTAAAAGAAAAAAGAAAAAAAAAAGAATTAGTAGCAAAAGAGAGAGAGAGAGAGAGAGAGAGAAGATTGAGACAATTATTACCTGTAGTTTACTATTAGCTCAATACATGCAAGGGGAAAAGCCTAATAATTAATTAAAATAATTGATACTTATAATTGCAATTAAGTTAATGGTTCTCAAGCCTGGACGCACCTTCAAACGGTGTGGTGAGCATTTTATAATAAAAATACCAATACCTGGCCTCAATCCCCAGACCCGCATTAACTGGTCTGAGGATCCATACTATTTAAAAGCTTCCCAGATGATTCTAAGGTGCAGTCAGGACTGGAACAAGAGATAAGCACAGAGACCTGAGCCGCCCTGCAGAAGAAGGCCGCAGGCGCTCTTGCTAGAACAGCAACTGTGAACTTGGAATCCACGAGCCCATCCCTGGCTTCAGGAGTCCAGGCTGTAACTGGTCCTCGCCTTTCCCAGCTCATGCACCACTTGTCTGAGCCCTTGCAAGCTCCACCCAGCACTTCTGCTAGCTGACTTTGAAGGCAACAGTGTGAGATGAAGGCAAAAGAGAAAGTTAAACCAGGCACTTGATAGGAGGAGGCAATAGCTCTGTCAGGCTGCCAGGATTGGAGGTGTGCTTGAGCCACCCGAGGGATGCAGTATTTTTGTAAAGATACCTACACAGCAAAGGGAGGAAGCTCTGAATCAACTGTGCCTAGAGGCAGCCAGGCCTCCTGGAACTGGAAGACTCTTGTTGCCACTGATAGGTTTCAGGACATGCTACCCCAATATATGGCACCTTGGCATTTGAGAAAACCATGGAAGCAAAAAGTTCTCTCTGACCTTTCCCTACCCCAACCCCACCCTTCTCCTCTGAAGCATGTCCTAAAACCTAAGAAGGATTTTTTTTTTTTTTTTTTTTTTGAGACAGGGTCTCGCTCTGTTATTGCCCAGTCTGGAGTGCAGGGCATGACTGTAGCTCACTGCAGCCTCGAACTTACTAGGCTCTAGGGATCCTCCTATCTCAGCCTCCTGAGTAGCTGGGACTATAGGCCCTCACCACCATGCTCTGCTAATTCTTTTTATTTTTCGTAGTGATGGGGTCTTGCTGTGTTGCCCAGGCTTGTCTCAAATTCCTGGTCTCAAGCAGTCCTCCCGCCTTGGCCTCCCAAAGTGCTGGGATTATAGGCATGAGCCATCACACCTAGCCCCAGGCACGATATTCTGACTGTCCCCTGTAGCCGGTCACATGAGCAGTATGTCATGTGAAAGGGTCCCTCCCTATACTCAGAGGAAAGGAGCCAAAGACAAAGACACCAAGAAAAATCTGAATAAGCAGGCCTTGCTAATCTCCCACCAGTTTACTGCCATTAGATCACACCCTTTTGTCTTTTTTTTTTTTTTTTTTTTTTTGCCAGTTTCATGTTTTTATTGATGCCAAGAGACTCAGGCCTCAGGCCTTGACTGCATACTTCCGCAGTGGGTACAGCCGTTCCTTCTGCTGCTGCTGCTTCATCTTCAGGTTCTCTTCGTGCTTGTTGAGCCGGCAGCGCATGGCACATGTTTTCTTAGGCCGCAGATCCAGGGGCTTGTACTTCTTGCCCTTGTAGAACTTCCTGAGTTTTTCTTTCTGTGTCTGGTTAATTACAGTGAGAACACGGGCAATGGACTTGTGGACGACTCGGATCTTGGAGAGTTTGGACGCTGCACCGCCTGTCACTTTGGCGACACGAAGCTGGGACAACTCCACTTTCAGGTCGTCCAGCTGTTTCAGCAACTCCTCCTTCTTCTTGCCACGAAGGTCCCGAGCCTTAATCTTGACCATTGCTACTCAGCCCCTACCGCCGCCGCCTGCTTTGAGGGAAAGCACCCTTTTGTCTTCCGATCATATTTCTCCATGACTTTCCTCCACTTTTCAACAAACCTGAGCATAAAAATACACAAGATTACCTGTTTCTTTGTGTCTGCATTTCCTTATGAAAGCTCCTGTCTGACATAAACTTATATTAAATACATTTGTATGCTTTTCTCTTGTTATTCTGTCTTTTGTCATAGGGGCTTCAGCCATGAACCTAAGATGGGAGGGACAGATATTTCTTTCCCCCTATACCATTCAGGGAAACAACAAACGCTCTACTGTCCTAATAGCACCTCCAGTCGCTGTCATGTCAGAAAAAGTGTCCATCATTTTTCCCCTGGCAAGTTCTCCAGTCCCATTTGTCTTTGTTCCTTACTCTCCCTGCTTCTATGATAACTTTTACTCTTTCTATGCTGCTTTCCTATATAACATCTGCCACCTATGACTTCAGCTTAACAACTCCTCTCTCCAAGTTTCTTGGTTTCTGCTACTACTAGCGATTGTGCCCCTCCCCGAGTAACCAGAATACGTCTCTGAATGCCACTGCCACTCTCTCTTCTAGCAAAGAATGCCTCCCGGAAGCTAAGTCCCTGTGCCAGGCCACCCCAGGCTATGTGTGTCTGCCTGTGGGCCAAGTACTGGTCCCTGGCCCAGTCTACTGTGACCAGGGTTGCAGGGTCAAACCATACAAAACAGGGCAAGCATTGTGAGGTCAGCAGTCTGAAATGTCGGTTCTGGGTGTGCTCTTGGCCAAAGAATGACCAGACACACTCAAAGCAAGGTAAGCATGAAACAAGGCTTATTCAGGAAAGAAAGGATTATAGAGCAAGAGATGCAGGTTTACAGAGCAAGATACATTCTCCACAATTTACAGACCCCATTTCATAACAAAAAGGCTTTGGTCATGGTCTGGGGTCTTCTTTGATAGTGTCTGGATTGAGCCCTCCCTCCTCGTGGTTCAGACGTCACCATGGAACCACTCTGATGGAGAGTTGGGAGTTGTAACTGGCCTGAGTCTCACTGCACATGCGGATCTCCCATGAGCCTCTCTGAAAGCCCATTTGGTGGGGTGAACTGCAATGTAGATTTAAACTCATGACACAATTAGCGTTAGGTTGTCCTACGTCACCTTCCAGACGCCACTGTACCCGTGCATCTTGGCATGAAGGCTAGAGAGTCCTCTGCATTCTTTTGCAGTTGGCACACTAAGTTCTGATTGGCTGATTCGTAGGGCCTTCCCTCCTCCCCCAGATGTAGCAATTGCTGGGGCACCTGGCTTTGACCCCAGGAGGGGCCGGAGGTCCCTGGCTGTCTATGTAACAGAATTGCTTTTGGACTATGGGGGGCTGTTTCCTAGTCCTTGCAAGGGAGAGGAGGGGGGAATAAACCACTACTAGCTAAATTAGAGACAATGTATTGGGTGTGTTATCAGGTAATGTTTTCACTGGTGTTGCTTCAATTCAGAGGCTTATATATAGTCAAGGGTAAGTTTTCAAACATTGCTTTTATGATTTGCTGAGAATCTCAGTAACAGAGGAAAGGAAGTAAAGTAGTTCTTACATATAGAAATATTGGTTTCCTCTACTTTATGCATTGTCTTTGCTTATACACAGAAACGGAAGTGAACCGATGCATTTGTGGTCTTAATAAGCCAAGGAAAGCCTGCGGAGTACATTGGGTGGCCTATTGCTGTGTAGCCAGAGTTCTGTTCCTGAAGCGAGTGTGATTATTGAGCTCCTGCAATCCTGGCCAGCCACCACTCGTCTCCTGTGGGGCCTCGGGAGGAAGCATGGCACGGGGGAGGGGGGGGATTAGTTAGTCAATGAAGGACTTTCCATAAAACTTCAACATTTTAAAATAGTGTAAATGTCAAAGGACAAACAGTATCCAAAAGCAGGAGCCCCATCCTTTCCCAGACCCCCTTCCTCACCTGGAGGCTGCAGTAAGGAGGAGACCCTGGGCCCATAAGCGTGGTACCGGAAGGTTGGTACTTGTACTTGTCCCTAAGGCCAAACGAAAAACAAGGACAAGTGGCATGAGGAAAAGGAAAGAGAAGTTTATTAATTTGCTGGCAAATGAGGAAGATGCCAGGCTCTCATCTTTAAAATAAAACAAAACAAACAAACAAAAAAAAAACTGAAAAAAAACCATCATCCTATCTAGAAGCAAAAATACAGAGCTTTTAAAGGGAATTTTCAGCTTCAGGCTGTTGCTGTTTACGTCATCTTCAGTAAAGAGGCATCTCGGGTGAAGAGATCTCGCAATCTCTGCCCAGTTTGTTGAGCCATCTGCTGTGGTACAAAGAACAAAGGACATTTTCCTGCCCTTCTGATTACTAGTCTTGGGCAGGAATAAGTTTTAATTCCCCAAAAGGGTGAAGGTGTTTTAAAGAGACAGCTTGTAAAACATTTTACCCTTTTTTAGGCCCTTACTTCCGTTACAAGCAGAGTATGACAGGGCTGGGGCCTGGGGACAGTACAGGGGCACGCCACATCTCCCGGTTTCCCACTGCCTCCTGAAATGCATCCCTCCATCCAGCAAGGCTTGTCTCCTCATGGTTTTCTGCTATATCAGCTACGCAACAAACCGTTGTTGAGGCTCTGCCTGTGCCGGCTACTCTACTAGATGCCAGGGACGTAGGAATGGCATTAGTATTATCTTAAATTGTTATTTTAATGATGATGATGGCTATTATTTACTAACAGATCACTTGTGCCAGACAGGATTCTAAGCACTTTACACTTACTGTTTTCCCATTTTACAGATGAAGAAATAAGGTATCATAAAGGCACACGCTAACCTCTGAAGAGCTTCTAATGTAGAGGTAAGGTGACAGCTACAAGGTGATTAGTGTTTTCTTTTTAAATTAATCACATTATTTTTACAGGCAGGGTCTCACTATATCACCCAGCCTGGAGAGCAGTGGCACAATCATAACCCACTGTAACCTCAAACTCCTGGACTCAAGCGGTCCTCCCACCTTGGCCTCCTGAATTGTTGGGACTCAACTGACTTTTAGGCAGTTTGTACTCTCTGAGAAAGAATTTTCAGAAGGAACTGGTCAAACTTCTCAAGTGCCTGTGTTACCAAAAGCTGAGCACTTGTCTTAGAGGCCACATCAGAATGAGGAAAAGTGGTTTGAGGAAAAGGAAAGAGAAGTTTATTAATTTGCCAGCAAATGAAAAGGATGGAGACTCCTATTTAAAATGCCATCATCCTAACAATAAGCAGAAATACAGAGCTTTTAAAGAATGGGTTCTCAGCTTCAGGCAATTGCTGTTCAACTACAAATGAGGATTCTGATCATCCCATCTCTGCCGTCCCATCTCCCCCTAAGACAATGCCATGACCTCCGCCCAGCACCTCTGTCTGCCAGGTCTGGGCAGGCTGGCAGTTCCACTGAGCCATCTCCTTAGCACAAAGAACAAAAGACATCCCCTTCCCTCTCCCTGCCACTGGCCTGAGGCAGGGATGCAGGTCCTACTTCTCCAAAAGGAGTGGGGGATGTTTTAAAGAGACATAAAACAGTTTTGTCATTTTTTTTCAGGCCATTTCCTCTGTAACATCTGTAAACCTATTACTAAGGGAAGCATGTGTCAGGGTCTAAATAATAGAGATAGCAAGTCATCATGGAGCAGGTTGTCTTCTAAGCAGAATCATTCCTGTGGCCTCTTACAGGAACACAGATAAATGCAAACATGCATCCATTATTACGGAGGAAGGGTATAATAAAACATGTTAGTAGGTCAATCTTAAAGGTTGTAGTCAAAAAGTGAGCAAATTCTCATAAGGTCCAGGGAGCCCCATGAAAGGACAAACATAGAGACACTCGCTCTTTCTCTTTTGAAAGTCCTCCAACAGAAAACAGCTCAGATAGGTCAAGGTGGTCTCACTCAGGAGGACCCATGGGGAGCTTATTTTAATAGAAAGGCAAGATAGGTTGGGGAAGAGAGGAAAGTTTTGTATAGGTCACCTGAGACCAGAGCACATCCTTTCTTCTATTAGTGAAGGACACTTTGAGCACAGTGAAGGATCTGGGGTTAGGTGTGGGAAATGGATGTGTGATTTTGTGTCAACAGACATGGCTTTTTTGGGAGTGCAGGACAATTTTTGCACGGAACAACCAACGACTACAACGCCAGTAGTAGTTGTTCTCTAGCTGCATGGGGATGAATCTGAGCTTTGTCTCCAGCCATGAGAAAGCAAGTAAGACAATCTCTGAGTTCTTGAATTTATTATGGGAGAAAGAACACCTAAGAAGGGAAGAAAAGCATTCAAGTGAGAGGTGAGTTAGAGATTAATTTGGGTAATAATGTTACTCCTTAAGCTGGTGAAGCAGAATATATTGGCATTTTGGAGTTTGGCCTTGGCAGGTTGGCAAGTCAGAAAACTGTTACTGTCCCCAGGCCCCCTTGTTTTGATTTTTGTAGGGTACAGTCTGGGAAACATGGATCACACTGACTATTTTCTCTTTTCAAAATGCTTTGTCTACTCCTAAGGAACCATAAACCATCTTGTTTTCATTTTCTAATATATCATATCACTACTAAATGTTTGTAATACCTTATTGCATTTTCACAATTGCAGCTCTAAATCAAATCGGATCTGGGAGCTTGTCCCACAGGCCAAATGGAATTCGGCCAAAGATCACATCCAGCTTTCAAACTGGTCCCCTTTTCCTGTCATTTCTTTATGTTCTTTTTGCATCTGAGGCAAGTGCATTTTACCCAAACCTGATGATGTATCTCGAGCGGGAAGAGAGTTTCCATTAACTCCCTATTTCATATCTATCACTAAATTTAACCTCTGATGTAAAGTCTCAAGTTCTTTGCCCTGAAAATAGCTAGAGGCTGAAATGGGAATGGGAGTGAGGATTAGTGTCAGCTGTGGTTTCAGGTATCAGAACTCCACCCACAGTCAATGCCAGCGAATTCCCCTGGGTATCCTCTGGCTCTGCCTTCCAGACAGTCGCTGCTCGTCCTCACCAGAATTGATCCACATTAGTGAGCAGGAGGTAGAAAAACCTCCTCAGAGCGCTACTTACCCTTGAAAACTTTTTGGAAAACTGCATAAATAAATATTAATTATAGGTTTCCTGCCAACAAAGCCAATACCTTATCAGTACCTTATCAAATTTTCGTATAAATGCAAAACTACCATGGTCTATGCTAAATATATTCTGTCGAAATGAAACCTTAAGTTCAGCAATTTAAAATAGCAAAGTGCAGGCAGGCGGATCGTTTGCGCTCAGGAGTTCGAAACCAACCTGAGGAAGAGTGAGATCCGGTCTCTACTATAAATGGAAAGAAATTTATTGGCCAACTAATATATATATAGAAAAAATTAGCCAGCATGGTGGTGCATGCCTGTAGTCCCAGCTACTCGGGAGGCTGAAGCAGAAGGATCACTTGAGCCCAGGAGTTTGAGGTTGCTGTGAGCTAGGCTGACGCCACAGCACTCACTCTAGCCTGGGCAACAAAGTGAGACTCTATCTCAAAAAAATAAATAAATAAATAAATAAAAATAAAATAAAATAGCAAAGTGTTTTGTTTGTTTTTCACAAAATTGAAACACACACACATACCACAAACTATTAAAAGAAGCAGAAAGAAGTGGGTTGCAATATAATTTCCTCAAATGGCAGTCAGTAGGTCTTATTATTTAGACTTAATGGAGTCATGGGGGTGTGAATTTTTTTAAACTTAGTTTATTGCTACCTATTGATATTTTAGTTCCATGTCTTCAATTTTGCCCAAAGTAAAATTAAGCTATTCATTTCCAGATGGTAAATGAAGGGCACAGTTCTTAGTTGTGAACTTTAGCTTATGTGTTCATTTGACTAGAATAAATGACTCCGGAGAACTCCACAGTTAGTAGCCAATTAGTCATTAAACAACATACGACCCCAACTAAGTCACTATAATAGCAGATGGTGACCCCATGGTACATTTGCTCTCTCAGCCTGGAGGTTGGCATTTGGGAAACTGCCATGCTTCTCAGCAGCATTAAGTTTCACAGAGTTCAGAGCTGAAATGCCGGGTAGAGGTGAATTAATCCTCTCATTTCACAGATGAGACTATTTCTGCTGCACATTGGGTGCATGGATGCCAGCTGCCAAAAAGAGCTCATTTTTACTTTATTTTCAAAATCTACAGTGTTTGCCAAAAAGGAAAAGTGAGATACATAAAGAT